AGGGAAAAGTCCCCATGGTACTTCATAGGGGAAGAAAAGGAAATGTCTGTATTGTAAGAGCTGGCTTCTGTCGCCAAGAGGGGAAGGGAACTGCACCAGAAAGGGAAGTAAAAGCAAGAAGTGAATGTGCAACATCACCATGTGAAGAGCCTGTGCTTCTGGTGCCTGCTGCAGCCTCTCATTTTCTGCCAGAAACTACAAGGCAGGTGATGAGCACTAAGCATGAAGTTCCCTGCAGCAGCTGCAGTGCACACAGAGAGGCAAGCCTGGAGAAAAAAAATCAACTTTGGACAAAATGCCAAATAAAGGGATCAACCATCACCTGCAAACTGATCATTAATGGTTTGGGGTGTTGGGTTTTTTTTGTGGTTGTCCATCCAATAGGGAAGACAGAAAGAAAAACTATAAAACTTGGCATTTAATCTAGTAATCGGTAAACAGCTCTGCTACGTCTCTTTAATTAGAGCATAAAAACATTCTGCTAGTAAAGTGAATTTCTTGGGCTTGTAGCTGAAATGTGGACCACCTGCAGTACTGGATATTCCCTGTAATAGGTACTTGAAGTTTGGAGGTGGGGAAGTCAAATTCAAAGGCTGAATCTTTAGAAGGGGCCAAAGTTTCTTATCTACAGGGACTCTCCTTTCTAGAGACAACATTATACAAGAAATTGGGTGTGGGTTTGTTATGGTCACAGGAATCCATCTCTCTGATGCAGCCCTTGGAGCTTCTTTGGACCATATACAACCTACTCTGAGCTGAATCTTAGAAACTACTGCCAGATTTTCAATCTTTTCCTAATTCCAAGCCAGTTTTCTCTTGAACCACAATGTGAGGAGGGGAAAAAAAGACCAGTTGCCAGTAGCAACCTCGAGAAACACTGTTCACTGTCTTCCGTCATCTGCAGCAGTTCCGTCTGCATGGACTGTCTGAGTAAGTCAGACAGAGTCTTGGTGCATTGTTGGTGAGCTGGGCCCTCTGCTCCAAGCCCAGCCTTCACACCCTCATCAGCCCAATGGCTTGAGAGAAAAGCACTCAAAGCATCTTGACCAAGAAGAGAGATGCAGCTCCTGACTGCACTGGATATGGCAGCTGATGGAGGCCCAAGCCCCTTTGCTACAGTGATAGTGAGTGGTAACATTTACAATCACTGAAAGGAAGAAAACTCTTGACCAGCTCCAACGGGCCACACTGGGAATCCCAGACTGCATAAGGTGTATGAGGACTGGGGGCACCACACAGTATACTGAGACTTCAGAGTTAAGGTGTCATTTCCATTAGAGTAGGTCAGTCCTCTCTGGGATGTCGCTTTCAGAAAGCATCCAAAAATCAAGTCCAGCTTCATTCTGGGAAGCGATGGCCAAAGCAGAAGAATGCACAGTCACCAAAGGTTCCCACTCATCCTTAGGGGCAACACTGCTCTCTCCTACTGCCTGGGAAAGAGCTGAAGCAGCTGTCAGGCTTGCTCTTCTCCCTCATTGGAAACATGGCGGTAGCCGGGGGGCTGAGACTGTATGCGAAAGAATACAGTCAAGAGGAGGATTATAAGGAGAAGGAGAATGGATCCACACACAGCCAGACCCACAAACACCTCTGCAAAGAAGAAGACAAGTGGTCAATATGGTATCATCTAAGCTTTCCCTTTCTGCCATGTTCTGGTCCAGCCTGGGCTCACCTGTGTCACGTATGCCGCTTGCTACTTGGCATTCTTGCTTCCAGTCCTGGGGAACAACAGGATCTGTGAGTTCCAAAAATCTCTGCAGTGGGCATTTATGCTGACATCCAGGGATTGTCAGTGGGAAGGGTTCTTTCCCACTCTCGTTCCGGAAAAACATCTCCACAGAGAAGTTACTGAAAACAAAACACAGCTAGATCTGTTGTTTCCTTCCAGTTATGGTAATCCCTTCACAAAAACTCAGTGCCCACACTTTCATTTATTCTGGTGGTAGTTTTCCTCCTAAGAGTCTGTCCCTAGGAGCAAGATTTCATACCCTAGAGTAGAGGCTAGCCTAGGTATCTAACCATTGAGGTGATATCACAGCAGACATCTTTACTGCAGCCCTCACCCATCATCCTCTTGGTACAGCTCAAATAAATGACATGAGGCATATGGTGCTTGAATCTTGTTGTAGACATCTAGAGCCATCTGCAGGGCCACAAGTGTGGTGTCATGCTGAGAAAGAGGGAAAAAAAACCGAATCAGTCACCCTTACGGAAGTGGCAGGGCAGCTCAGACCATACCAGTAATGGGCAATGCAGTGCTGAGGGGATGTCACCTTTGGAACTTTCATCTGGAAGAAAGGAGAGGAGCAGTACTGCTAGAACAGTGATCTGTGGCATTGCCAGTGAAGAAGAGAAAGCCAGCCACATATATTCTGCATTGTTCTTTAAGAATTAACCTCTAGGGAGCAATTTAGGAGAGATGTTAACTTTCCAGTCAGTAGGCTGCTGGAAGTGGGGGATGACTATCTATACTGCTGAAACACCACATCTGAGTGGCATCAACTCATCTACCAAATAAAGACAGCAGTGGCTCCCCAAGGTCTGCCAGTCTCATCCACAAGCCTGAGCTAACAGGAACAAAGTGCAGGCTGGGCATTTTCAGGGGCTCCAGAGGAATGTTGCCAGATCCTGCATATCCCACCCAGCCAGATGCAAAGATGCATGTGTTGATCACTGCATGGGCTGTGGAGAAGCCACAAAGTGTCAAAACTATCACCAAGCCCAAATGCTCTTTGTGGAGGAGATGGTGGAGCAAAGCTAGCCTCCAAGCTCTGACTTACCGCTGAATAGACAAGTAGTTTCAGGCTCTGGTGGGCAGAACCATTTGCTGCTTTGGTTAGGTTTTCCCTTATGTGACCCAGCAGGACCCCTGAGGAAAGGGAACAGCTTGTAAAAGGCAAAAACTAGACAGAACAGCACGAAGCTCCCTCCCTGGTGCACTCACCGCCTTGCAGACGAGCTTTTTCTATACGACTGTGGATCCCAAACAGAAATTCAAAACCAAAGTCTTTTAGTTGTTTCAGTTGAGTCATGACATCTGGTGTCACCCATACAGGCAAATCCATTTTGTGTGCTTGCTAGAAAGAGAAACAGAATACTCATCTGCAAGTGGCACAGATCGTAGATGAATTTGAGAATGGAAGTCAAGGAGTCTGGAGCCCTGCCCATGCTGCTACTGATTTCCTCTTATTATTTTAAATATGCCCCTTTTTATGCTTCTGTCTTCACGCTGCTGTGCTGCAAAGAATATGGCTGGGATTTCATGTTTCAGAAACTAATAATGAGAAGGCTAAAGATGAAAATCTAGAGGCTACATTTCTGTGAAAGCACAACTGAAGTGCAGTGTTACGTCGTAATGTGGGTACAACAATCTTGGGGCATTTACTTTATGTATGGCTGATTCTGCCCTGCAGATGGCATGCAGCCAAAAAGAAAATAAACAACACAGTGAGAGAACACACACAAACTCCAGGTTTCTGGTGTAGCTGCAGCATAATTTCCTTGCAGGCTCTGAGGGCCACTGAAGGATACTGGAGAAAGTTAAGTGATTGCTCTGCAGACGTAATACTGACAAGCACCACTGACAAAGCCTAGTAGTCAAGCCCAGAATAAAGAGAACTGGGAACCAAGAGAACAGTTGATTTGCAGGCAACCAATTACACAAAAAACAGCAGTTGTGGTTCCCTGGCATTACTCAGAGCAATTTTCTTTGCCACATCCCACTCAGCTGCCAGAAGATGAGGCCAAGGATCCTTAAGGGCTCATTCTCAGAGCAGTTAAGAGAAATTCCCATCAGCAATTCAGAAATTTAGTTAGCTTTTCATTAATTTACAAAGAGAGTATCTGCTAAGTTCAGCAATTTCTTGGACTTTTTTATATTCTCCGTCCAGATGGTAGAGTGAAACTACTGGCTCCAGTGAGAAAAACAATGCTTCTCTTCAGGACATTGTTTGTAAGAGTGAGAAAAAAGGAGGAAGCCCAAAGCAGCTGGAGAGACTCATCAGCCTAGAGGAATAATTTTGAGAGTAAAATTACCGTTCCTCAAAACTTTCTGGTTTCATTTTGGGATAGTGAGCTAATAATCCCCAAGTTCTTGGGGATTATAGTGGTTGTCTGCTGGCCTTCTGGGCCAAATAAGTAAGCTCATTAAGTGAGTCTTGAAAATGAAGAAGATTTGAAATTAAGAAGATTTGAAATTCTTGATCTCTCTGACCAAAGGATTTTTTGTTACCAACAGAAGTTGCTTCACTGTGACTGTTACAAAACAGAAGATAAGGTTTGTGAAACAAAGGGCAAATGTACATAGTGCAGTGCAGTGCACTGGAATATCCTCAGCTTGCAGCAACTCAAGCTGCTACTTTACATAGCAAAGTGCAGATTTATCTTTTACATCCCTCAAATAGTACATATCACTGTATACCACTGCCAGAAAGCTAAATAGCCTTGCACCTTAGTAGAATTAGCATGACACAGTGTCACAATGCTTGGGTTTCCTGCTTCTTCCACAGTTAGCTAGTTTGACATGGAAGATCTCTGTAAGTTACTTCATCATGCTGTATAGTTGCACATGAATAAACCTGTGTGCAACAACAGTGAGTCTCCTGATACATGACCTTCACTTTACCATTAGCACAGCACAGCTAACCTGTTTTTTTATTTTATTTAAGTCTTCCTAAGATATGCTTTCAACAAAACTTCACGGGGAATATAGTTTGTTACTTCACTCCCGACAGTAAAAGGGTAATATCTGTCTCTAGAGTCTTTCACTGGCAAAGTACTTTATCATAGGTCAAAAACCAGATGTGGGTGAACCCCGTTTAACCTAGACAAGCATTATTTTCTTTCAGAGATGGCATTAACAGAAGCACAGAAAGAAAAGTGATTGATCTAAAGTAACAGAGAAATAGAGCTAGAACCAGGAAAAGTCCTAATTTATGCTCCCAACTTAAATCATAGAGCTCCTTCAGTTTCCAGACCTTACTTAACTCAGACTTGTCCACAGAAACCTAAAGATTTCAGATTGCAGTAATTTTCTAGTGACTTTCAAAAGAGATCTGTATTATGCAGGTGGGACTTTTTTTTGGGTGTGGCACAATATGTATATAAGCTACAAAGTGAGAGGTTATAGGGTGCAAAAGTAGATAATTCTTGGCATATGCCTCTGGAGAGTAGGAACTGTTATGTTCTGAAAGTAGAACATGGCTTCTAAGTGTAGGGTGGCAACTGTGAAAAGTTGTTTTATGGCATTTTGCAAAAGTATCTTCTACCAAACCCAGCGAGTCCTAAAGGTCATATTCCCACAGCTGTAAGATGATGGCCAAACTTACTTCACAGAACAGTGTGTCATACACACTCCAAACACTCTCGAGAGAGACATCCCGGATCCCAGTCTCATTTGCCACCATCTGCAGGAATTGCTGTAGGTTTGAGAAAAGAGAAAGGCCTTCAATTTTCTAATCTCCTGCTGTGTGACATGCACAGGCATTCCTCCCCTTTTCTCAGAGCTCTGATTCTACAGAGGTGATAATACTTTAACTACAAGCCTAAGACCACCTTATCTCATGCAAACAGTCACTTACCCAATTCTCTTTGGTCTTATTTATGTATTCTGCTGAGTGCCGTGTTTCATTCTGTAGCTGCTCATACCGTGGGCAGGGGGTCAAAGGAAACTTCAGTAGCTAAGCAGAGACAACAAGAGCAGCTAGGTCACCGAGAACACTGAAGTACAGAATTTGCAGTCAACATGTGCAACTGTAACGAAGCCCTGACTAACAGGATGCATCTATAAACAGCCTCAGGTACTGCCTTCTGCCATACTCCAGATCGTGTGTGGTCTGCTGAGGTGCTGCAGCTGACACGTTGAGTGAACACAGCCCCTGAATTCTCATCTTGTTCTGCAAACAGAAGAACCTCTGCAAGGTAGGTCCCAGGAGAAGGTCAAGACAATCTGAGTCGAGATTGAAGCAAAGACTTCTGGAGAAACCAGTATAACACACTACTTGAGTAGTCAGTACGTATCCTTGAGACTAAGGAACTTACCCTTTCGGCAGACTCAGGCACTGTGTGCACAGGGATAGGCTGCCAGGAAATGTTAGGGTTGAACATCTGTTGTCCCTCTGGGGGATACAGGCCTGCCAGATTGGCCTCCGCACTCATCAGCGTCCGATCACAGTCTGTGCTGCGGATGAAGATCTGCCAGGACAGGGACAGCCCACCATTAGTAATGCTACTGGAAGCTGTGACACTTGGACGCAGGATGATGCACTTGCTGGGCATCATTGCCAAGTGCCCTGCAGCTGCTCACGAACAACAGGATGACAGGAGTTGAAGTGACTGAGCCTGTTGATGTCAACCTGGGCAAAACTGTAAGGATGAACACAGAGACAATTTGGTGTGTCATACTGGAGCAGTCTGTTCTGGATCAGTGGGGTAGCCAGATGCAGCATGTGGAGATTATAGATAGGAGTCTGAATATGAGAGAGTCAGACAAGAGCAAGACCAAGATGCAGGTAATAGTGGGCACAGCTAGGAAATAGGCCCCTCACTACAAGGACATCGAGGTGCTGGAGCGTGTCCGAAGATGGGCAACAAAGCTGATGAAGGGTCTAGAGCACAAATCTTATGAAAAGCAGCTGAGGGAACTAGGGTTGTTTAGTCAGAAGAGGAGGCTGAGGCGAGACCGTATGACTCTCTACCACTATCTAAAAGGAAGTCGTAAAGAAGTGAGTGTCGGTCTCTTCTCCCAAAAAGTAAGCGACAGGACAAGAGGAAACGGCCTCAAGTTGTGCCACGGGAGGTTTAGTTTGGATATTAGGAAGAATTTATTCACTGAAAGGGCTGTCAAGCATTGAAACAGGCTGCCCAGAGTCATGGTTGAGTCACCATTTCTGGAGGTACTTAAAAGATGTGTACACGTGGTACTTAGAGACACTGTATAGTGGTGGACTTGGCAGTGTGCCACCTTAACAGTTGGACATGATGATCTTAAAGGTCTTTTCCAACCAAAACAATTCTATGAAATGCACTGTATTCACAGAGAGGACCGGGGCAAACTCCTGCTTTTGGTTCTAGGAATGACCTGCTGAAAAACAAAAAGGGGGAAATAGGATTTTGTTTGATCATTGTGGACTCTTGGGATCAACAGGCCAGGATTTGTAATTCCAGAGCTCAGAGAGAGAGAGGTCTGAGCCAGAAAAAAAGAGAAACAAGAAAAACACAGAGAAGTTCAGAAGGTCAAAACAGCAACATTTTGGTATTCTGGTATCTGTACTGAGAACACTTAGGGGTAGATTGGAGAGAAACCAGTGATAAGAGGAACACATAGGAAATCATGAATGTATGTCCTAGAAAACAGCATATTGAATCTGAAAGAAGAATAAAAAGAAGAATGAAATACAATTTCAAGATTGGGATTTATTTTTAATGTTAAATGAGGAGAATCGTAAGAAAAGATACATATGCTCACTCCATGTAGCATTTCCTCCATCAAGTGTATCTCAAAACTCAACAGTCACAAGGAAAAAAATAATTGTCTTTTCTCTTGACAACTTCTACCCACTTTTTACCTCGTAACTGTGGCTTGGAAACAATTGACTCTGTACTCATTAGAACAGCTTTCATCTTTGACAAGCTCTGAGGAAATAGAAAGGGAATATTTTAAAAGATAAGGATCTGATTCTAGAGTGTCATAAAAACCGATTAAGCTCGGAGTGCACATGCTTTCTTCAGCACCTTTTGCCAGGGCTCCAGCTTGTCGCTGAGTCAGGTGACAGATGGTCACACGGTGTCACTCAGAGGCACCACTTCTAACAAGAGGAAGGTTGCTCAACTCGAGCAGGGGCTCAGGCTTGGTTAGCAGAACAGCTTTTGTTTGCATAGGCCGTGGTTTGTTTTTCCTTCCCAAGAAAGAGAAGGAAAACAGTTTCAGCTAGCAAAGACTTTTAAGAGTGAAGCATGTTTGGAAAGGAACTGCCAAGGAAGGTTAAAGGATCTGTGTTTGAGCTGATGCTGGAAGTTTTGTTGATGAAGCAAATGTCAAAAACAAGGAAGTAATCTGAACTATGGCAAGATGGGTATTTACTGGGGATCTCAAAAAAGGGGGGAAACAAAGACAGAAAAATTGTATGGGGATTCTCAGTTTGCCCAATCCAGTTAATCTCCCCAAGTGAGCTCAGATAAAATGAACTGAACCAACCCAGAGGGTCTTCACTGGACCACACGACAGCATGTTTCCCCTCATGACACCTGCTCATGTTGCAGTTGACTCACACCTCTTTGATCAACCAGCATGGGCATTTGGGGGAATTCTCTACTTCCTTACTCTCCTCCGTCTTTCAGATTTCCCCCTGTGCTTAGCATGTGGTTCCCCAAAAGCTCTGTAACGTTTTATAAACTAAACCAAGCAGTTTCTCAAGAACTATTATAAAGTGTAGCAACACCCTGGACAGAGAAAGGCAAATTAATAGCTTTGGGGGACTGCAGGTGTCGACACTTTACAGGTGAAAAAAAGCCCGAGAGGGTCACTTATGGTTAGGATCTACTGCTCAGACGTGCAGACTCCCACGAGACTGTGCCTGGGGAGGGCAGGGCAAACACGGGCTTCACCCTGGTTAGCTGGGAGGACAAAAAAAGCGACAAGCCCCGGGTACAGGAAAGCAGGGAGGCGGGCCCAGCAGCCCCCCAGCGCTGCCCCGGG